CTAGACACAAGACAGGGAAGACTAACACGAGACAACCTTCACCGCCACACAGACACTGGACAAAGACTCACACACCTCACCTTACTCCACCTCAACCACCCTAATGCTACCTCAGAGATTAGATTAGGGTGGTTAATCTTTAGTTGAAATAAACTAGGGTGTCTAATCTTCAGGCGGTAACGTGGAGCTCCTAACAAGATAAGATACACCTTATAAGACAGAAGCCCCTACCCCCCCCTCACCTCCCAAGCAGCGTCCCGGGAGACACACACTTCACACGAGCACCAAGTCACTCAAGAAACGCTCTCTTTTCTAACCCACTTTACAAGCGGGAGAAAAAGCACTCCGATAATTCTCCTTAAATGACACTTTAATACCTGCCACCGGGAGGTCTCGGTGGGGCCTCGCGAGACGCCTACACCCCCACCCCCCCCAATACCCAGATTCTTCAATAATCTTACTCGTGGGTTTTATTTTATATTTTGTCTTCGTTTTTCTTCCATGGCTGAGACATACGCGGACGCATCTGGTTATGACAGAATCTCAATACAATTTCGTGCCACCAATATCGCCACTAGTTACCTCAGTGCCGCAGCTGATGTAGAGACAGTCGCATGCGTACTCTGTACTGGAAAACGCTGACATACGAATCTGTCAGACTCCAGCCTCAGGTCGCCTCCCTCACACGCAGTTTAGGCAGACGACTCCCTCAGGGCCCGCCCAGGTCCTCCTTCACAAGTCCTCCAATTGTCGCTCTCATTTTTATGTGTATTTTTCTTGTGTTGGTTAACTTTTTGCATTATGTTTTCTCTCGTCCAGTATGTGTTGTGTTCTATCTGTTTGCGTCACTATTATCTTTACATTTTTACTGTTACAGAAAGATACAACTCAGTGAATACTTCGGAAACTTCAACAAAATTTAAAAAAAAACCCTGAATGTTTAAGTGATAATAAAAAAAATGTAAAAATATATAAGTATAAAGTTTACAAAGTTCTTAATTGACTAATACATGTTCCTATTAAAATTATTATTATATGAAAAGAAAAATCTGCGAAAGGCTCTCAGCAGGAAGCTTATTTTAGGGTCCCAAGACGCGTCCTTTATAGCTGTAGCGAGATTTTCCGGAAAAGCACAAACAAAATACCTACAAACATTATTGGAACCTCGCAGAGCTCAGCAAATGGCTTCACGGGAACATCAGAAAAGGATTCATGTATTCCTGTACTGTATTTATTCACTATTATTTGGGAGAACTTTTAAGTGATACACAAATAAATAACGAACGATACTTTATGAAAATTACTAACAATTCTGTAGAAAAAGATAAAAAAAACTAATTTCTGCATTAAGTCGCGGCTGGAACTTGAGTACACCACCACCACCTTCAGGTCTCCAGTGTACCGTCGCCTTGAGCTGCTGGAAGACAGTTTTAATGTGTCTTTCATCGCCTCTCTGTGACCACTTCATGAGTTCTTAAGTGGTCCTCTTAAGAACCTTGAGTCCTCCTCCTCCTCCTCCTCTTCTTCCTCCTCTTACGGTCATTAACTCCTGCTAGGTTCCTAAGTTCCTTCCTGTCTTCTTCTTTACTCTTCCAGGTCACCTCTTGGGGTCCTTCTGGTCTGTCCTTAGAACCATTGAGTCCTCCTTCTACCATCAAATGTCTCCCCCTACTATTACCGAGTCCTCCTTCAACGATCACCAAGTCCTCCTTCGGCAATCATCGAGTCCTCCTCTAACGATTACCGAGTCCTCCTTCAATTCTCCTCGAGGTCTCCTCCTACTTTCCTTCATGGGCCCTCCTACGCTCTTCCGGGGCCACTTCAATTGAGGGTAAGAGCCGCCCTTGGAGCTAGACACGAGGGAGTGGAGAGGTCTGAGCACCCTACAGCCTGGGGACGAGGGACGCATTGCCCAAGATAAACCAAGTGTGAGGCTGAAAGGTGAACCATCCAGGACCACAGGGTAACACTCTCTCTCTCTCTCTCTCTCTCTCTCTCTCTCTCTCTCTCTCTCTCTTTCTTATCAGCTGCGTTAGTTAGCTCAATGATTTCCTTCCTATCCTCATTGCTAAAGCTAATAGAAAAATTCCCCTTCCCCGCGAGTATTCCATCCCATTCATCCCCTGTACACACTCCCCAGACAATGGCGCCATGAAGCACTCGTCATACACGCAGTTCAAGGTCTATTCTTGGCTAGTTTGGTGTGATATGTGCGTCGGTATTCCATAAGAGGATTGATTACCTTTTGAAACCGTATCAACACATAAACTGGTCGGACGTGTTATTGGAAAGTCTTTGGAAACATAGGTGTGGGAGGGGATCATTGCTTCTGTTTTTATTTCCTGGTAGTGTGTTTTATTTTCCTTTGGTGGAATGGATGTGGGTGTGTGTGTGTGTGTGTCTGTCTGTCTGTCTGTGTACCAATCATATAAACAACGTGACTAAATAAAAGCTAAATAAAAAAATACCACAAGCCATAATCTTCCACCATGACAAACAAAAGTAATTATTTACAGAGAGGAAACAAAATAACAAAATCACTGGTTCATATTACTAATTCAGCTCCTTGAGACAGCCTTGAGAGCTGATAATAATAACAGCAGCTTCAGACAAAGAGGCACCAGTGGATTGTCTGCACTAAAGCCTTCCTTGTAGAGTGAAATCACATTAACCACCGCAGAAAAACCTTATAATTAAGCTTCAATATTCTTAACAGCATAATGATAACGACACACACACACACACACACACACACACACACACACACACACACACACACACACACACGCGTCTTATAAAACCACAACAAACTCAGTTAATGATGAATATGTCTTAGTATGGTTTTTTAGTAACATTTTCACCTTCACAATTATATCCTGAAGATTTGCCACGGAAATAAAAATATGTAGATTAATTATTCAAGGGATTATTTTCGTCAGAAAACTCTTGCCATTAATCAGGGGCTCATAACAATCTTTGGGTTTAATTAAAATTCTGATCCGCTTGAAAGAATATGAGATAATGGCGCGTTATCCAAGCATTTCAGCTAATCTGTTGCGAGAAATTTTTAATGAGCGTAATTTTTCTCCAATTAAATCAGAGACGCTGTGCCATTTAACAGTTTTTTTTTCTATTCTCTTCACTGCTGATGTAATGGAGTCGGTCATTATGGAGTCATGAGGGAGAAGCAGCATTATGGTGTCATGAGGGAGAAGCAGCATTATGGAGTCATGAGGGAGAAGCAGCATTATGGCGTCATGGGGGAGGAACACTGGAGTCATGAGGGGAGAAGCAGCATTATGGAGTCAGGAGGGAGAAGCAGCATTATGGAGTCATGAGGAGAGAAGCAGCATTATGGAGTCAGGAGGGAGAAGCATTATTATTGTTGACGGTCTACAACTTCCCTCGGCCTTGTTCACGTGTGTAGTATAATAGAGCATTACAATATATAAACATTATACTTGATCATATCTTTACGTCTGACACAAGTTACACTAAATAACAAGGAAGCGATGACCACGTGGGTAATTCTCTCACCTCCTGTCCCAAGGGTCACTGGTTCGCTCTCAGGGTACCCCCAAGTCCACCCAACTGTAAATAGGTACCTGACTTTATCATTGGGAAAGTGAAGAGACTCGAGTCCCTCATATGTACCAAAATAATGGACTTGGGACACACTTTCATTCCTGGCAGCCCACAGCTTCTCATATAACATGATTATGAGGAAGACAGGACATGTGTGACTCATATAACCGATTACACCTAAACGCTACCTGCCGGGTATAGGGGAAGACTACTATAACAAACTGCATTATACTACACTCATGTTATACGGTACTATAAGTCGCCATGATTATGCTATCGTTATAATAAGAGGTTCAACAGGCCGGGTCACCAAGCACCGTTGTTTGCGTGTTAGTCTTTGCTCTACACAACTTTTATGATAATATATATTAGACTCAATAGGGACAGTTACCTAATAGCGATGTACTGTATGTATGTCCTGTACACATAACCTAAGAGGGTTTTATCCTGAAGAAGTTAAAGTCCATTAAGGATCAAGGTACAGAGACATGTAAAGAAAAAAAATATTATTAAAACATGGGATTCTTTTTCGACGACCCTCTATTACTGAGTGAACGTTTGTTGACTGAGAACGACTTAGAGAGAGAGAGAGAGAGAGAGAGAGAGAGAGAGAAACTAAATCGTCTCTCACCATCAAATATCATCAACAAGCGCGCACCTCCTCCCTCCTTCACGCTGCCGCAGAATGAATGGTTATCCTGATGAGGCAACTTGTCCGCCTCGCCCCGCGTCTCCCACACCACCTTACCCCACGCCACCTTCTCCCACGCCACCTTCTCCCACACCACCTTCCCCACGCCACCTTACCCCACACACCACCTTCTCCCACGCCACCTTACCCCACGCCACCTTACCCCACACCACCTTCTCCCACACCATTTTCTCCCACACCACCTTCTCCCACGCCACCTTCTCCCACGTCACCTTCTCCCACGTCATCTGCCTCCCACGCAACCTCCCTCCTTCCCGCTCCTCCTCCCTCCCATCTGCGCCTCCCACGCCACCTGCCTCCCACACCGCCTGCCTTCCACGTTACCCCCTGCACGCGCCTGGTGAATGCCGAGTAGAATGTGGGGGGGAGGAAGAGAAGTGAGAGGAATGGGAGGGAAGAGAGAGAGAGAGAGAGAGAGAGAGAGAGAGAGAGAGAGAGTAAAAAGACAGTGTACAAAGGGGAAAAACAAGAGAAAGGGCAGGAAACAGATATAGAGTACCTGTGAACTACGAGTGAGAGGGGGAGAAAAAATTGCACAAAGGAGAAAATAAAGAGAAAGAGAAAAAGAGAAAAGAAACAGTCATAGTAAAGTAAAAAAAAAAATAAAGAAAAACAGATAAAGCAGACGAGTGATAAACATTAGAATTACCTGAATATTTATAAACAATTCACATGTCTAATCTTTCATTTATTTTTGTTTCAGGTTTTAATCCGAGTGACGACAGTTGCCAGGAGAGATGTACAATAACTGTAGATAAAACACAACAACAACAACAACAATACTCTCAAAAACTGTGCAGTTATAAACAAAACATAATAAACGTGACATAGTTTAAGAAAATAAGTAAAAAAGGTGTCAATGAAAATAATAGTAACAATTTCATACCAAATAATAAAATGACAAAAATCACATGAAAATCAGTGACATAAACTTCATAAAAATAATAAAGTGAGAGAAATTTTCCATATATAATAAAAACCTGAAATGCAAAGGTAGAATATTAGAGAGAGGGAAGAAGAAGAAAAAAGGGTGAAATCTTTAAAATCAAAAAGTTGTAAAATGGTTGTGAGGAGCAAAGTGGGTGTAGTGTCCTGAGCTGAAGACTTGAGCGAGGAGGAGGCGGGTGGCGGTGGGTGGTGAATGGACATCATCATCCCCCAGTAAAGAGGATCCCCCGGCCAGTGAGGCGGCAACATAACACAGGATGCTCACCCTCGGCCAACTCACAACCAAGTTCTTCGTTCTCATCGTCTTGCTGGCTGTCTCCTTGCCTGGTGAGTACAACTGTGTGTGTGTGTGTGTGTGTGTGTGTGTGTGTGTTTACTGGCAATATAATATCTTGTAGGTGGATGAGACAGAAATAGGTGTTAGTGAAATATGGAGTGTGAGATCCGTAGAGTACATCAACATTCTCGACTTCACTATACGAGTACTAGTGATGTCTGAGTACTCTTGTTCCCTCATCGTGTGGTGAGTACAAATAAATGTTTTTGTCTTGTAGTGAAATATAATAAGTGGATGCCCCTAAACCTTACGTTAAAGATGAGGTTTAATTTGTTATTATCTTAGAGGTGGATTAATTAATACAATATATATCTTTACGTTGACGTCTGCTTCAGTTGTTTCGTTAATTAAATGAAAATAAATATGTAAACAAATATATATTCTGGATATAAAAAATAAACAGAGAGAGAGAGAAAGAGTGTGTGTGAGTGTGTGTGAGTGTGTGAGTGTGTGTGTGTGTGAGTGTGTGTACGACAGAACAGTAGAAAAACATTAATTCTCTGTTATAGTAAGTAAATAGATTTTCCCAGACAGAGAGAAAAGTTTTAGGTTTCCACACAATACGTTTCACTACAGAGGCCTCCCCTCCACCCCCCCCCTCCTCCTCCCACCACCACACAGGGTAAAGTGGTGGGAAAAGGACGAACACAAATACAATCATAGCGAGATAAATCCCATACATGTAAACACACACACACACACACACAAGACTCCCCTCTCTCCCTCCCCTACCAGCTCTCCCCTCCCTGGCTCCCCCTCCCCCTATAGCTCTCCCCTCCCCTCCCCCAGCTCTCCCTCCCCAATTCTAGTATTAAAAAGGTCAGAGTGAAACTAGTTCCTTAATATCCTCCATCAGAAGCCAATTATATACGTAACCATCTTCCTTTGATCACCAACATCCCGCGACAGAAAAAAAAATACTTCGACTCACTTCTTTTTCTTTTCCGCCTTAAATTACCTTTATAAGCGAAGACGTTTTTACCAGTTGCGTCGGGAGCAAACGTTGGGTAAGGGAAGACGTTTTAAGGGAAGGATTTTTGTTTTGTGTGTGGGAGGGTGTGGAAGGGGGAGGGGGGGGGTTGCATCACAAGAAAAGTACAAACGTGTTCAGGGAGGAATTTTTTAGTGTGTTTTGTGTCAGAAGGAATAATGGAACACCAAAAGAGTGTAAACTGAGTGAATACGATACGTTATTCGCACGGTAGACTACAACTGTCTTTTAGCTGTGTGTGTGTGTGTGTGTGTGTGTGTGTGTGTGTGTGTGTGTGTGTGTGTGTGTGTCAAAATGCCATTCGTTTTTGCTATAAATTCTTAGTGACGTATACATGATGGGTTGAGCCTTGCCTCTGGGCGCCTTTGATGTATGTGATACAATTAGAGAGAGAGAGCAGGACAAGTCTCTGAGGTGTTGTTGCATCAGGCGGACATAAATAACATGTGTGGGGGTAGACAGGGCAGAGAGAAGAAAAAAGTGCTAATACAAGAGGCCGGCGTGGGAAGGATGCCACCGCTAAGTGCCAGCAAATGCCACATTGTTGCTGGTTTACTAACAGCTTCTAGTAGTTAAACCTGGCCAATAGCCCCGCGTACATCCGGCCTCACCAACCTAAAGTCACACGTTAGGATTATTGCTGTTGTTGATTATGTCCCGTGAGACGTAATTACACGTGGGGGGCTGAGAGATGGCTGGTGTCGCTGGCTGGTTGGCTGTCTGGCTAGTTAGATGGCTGGCTGGATGGTTGACTGTCTGTTTGTCTGGCTGTCTGGCTGGCTGTCTAGATATCTGGATGCCTGACTGTATGGCTTCGCTGGCTGACTGTCTAGCTGGCTGTCTGTCTGGCTGGGTGGCGACGCTGGACACACACACACACAACCTTGGGCTCGGGGTCTGAAGGTCCATAGATTCATGTTTTTCCCCTTGAGTTGTGTCGAGAGGCCGCGTTCATCTCAGTTAAAGTCTCGCTGTAATTTCAAGGACAATTTTGGCCTCCATCCTCGTGTGGTTGAGGTAAATGTGTTCAGTTATGCGCTCTCTCACGTCACCATATTGAGGACTAAAGTTACACCATGACTAACCGCAGTGAAATCCAAAGAGTCAGGCAGTGATTCTAAAAAAGTTTCGTGAGATAAATTTTCCTCTCTCCTATCTGTTGATGTTAAAATGTGTCAAACTAATCCACTCTAGAACACGACGCACAATGACAGAAAAATATATCGTCGAGAATACAATGAGTATCTACCGCCACGACACAATGCCTTGACTTAAAACAGGAACTATCACTGCGACCATTATCACCGCCTTGGCAACATATTCATGGGATTCAATTAAACTGCAATCATCTGGAAATTTGGTGATGATAATTAAGACAACATTCCTTCCTTTATGTTCCTTGGCGAAGAGAGGACATTACCTTCTTTGTGTTCCTTGGCGAAGAGACACCATTTCCTTCTTTGTGTTCCTTGGCGAAGAGACGACATTTCCTTCTTTGTGTTCCTTGGCGAAGAGACACATTTCCTTCTTTGTGTTCCTTGGCGAAGAGACGACATTTCCTTCTTGGTGGATTGGTCATGGCGTTTCCTTGGTCGTGGTGCTGAGCCGATAATCCGTAGATGCTGAGAGTTCAAATATGTAACCCGTAATATCTTACCCGCTCTGTGACCACCCGTGAATCTCCCCCACCACCACCACCACCACCACCACGCGAGTCGACTCCTAAATGCTCGATAAAGGGACGCCAGTGAGCCAAGAACACAGAGAGGAAACTTACAGGAAAATGAAAGGTTAAGACGCAGACCACGATATAGCCTCACCACCCTGCACCAACTTAAGAACAAGAATTAAATACACTGGTTTAATTGTTGCGAGGGAAGACACGTTTTTTTCTCCGTCAATAAACCAAAAACTAAAATAAACTTAAGATTAATTGAATTTGCATCACTTTAAACTTGACGGTCAGTAAGTCAGTCAGTTACAGAGAGACTCATACAACTTCAGACGAGCTAAGAATACCACACAGATGAACGCAGTAATAACAGTGATTGACATTCCTTTCATGTTCAGTCATACATACAGACACTTTCCATGCCCCTCTAAATATCGTGGTGAGCTGTGAGACATTTTACGCTGACTTATAAACGAATGACTCGACTTTGTTTCAGAAATTTTCCTCCGGTAAGCGATTTACAGCGCCTACCACACCATTATACTTCACAACTTTTTTCCTAAACTATCTTGGGAATGGTGTGTGTGTGTGTGTGTGTGTGTGTGTGCGTGTGTGTGTGTGTGTGTTTTACGATTAGCCCACCCGGGCACAGGTCACTGACCCACATTGGGGCCTGGGGGGCGAAAATGTAATAATAGTAATAATAATAATAATAATAATAATAATAATAATAATAATAATAATAATAATAATAATAATAATAATAATAGTAATAATAATAATAATAATAAATAATAGTCATAATAATTCATAATAAATAAAATTTATGATAAAACAAACAAAAATAAAATAATAAAATAATGATGACAATAATACAGTAACTGTAATAATAATAATATTAATAATAAAGAACTATAAATACAAAAATGAAAAAAAAGATCAAAAGTGAGAAACTATATATGTATGTTGTGTTGTCAATGGTAAGAGAAACAATTGAGACCCTGCAACTGTGTGTAAATGAAGCAAACTTATAATACAAAGAATATATTGATGGACCAGTCTAATATTTTCGTCTGATAACCCACCCCTCCCATCCCTCTCCCACCTCCCTCCCACACTTCACCTTTCTCCCATACCTCCTCTGTCCCTTCCCTTCCACCCCCTCCCCCAATAAAACCAAAAACAATAACACAACTTAGAAAATAGTTTTACAGCGGGAGACATTAATGTATTCATGTATGTAAATGAACCATATTTAATATCTTGGTCTGAAATTAACTCCTTGTCTCGTCGGTAGTTGAGACAAAGAGAAGAAATGAGAATCCGCTACTTTCTCTTAATTTTGTGGGAGGGAGAGGTGAGGTAGGCAGTTGGTCTGGCCTCTGTGGCGGGTGGGAGACAATACAACGATGGTCTTTCTACTTACTGTCTCCACTGGCTTCCCATTTTCTATTCTCTTCTATTCTACTCTATCTAATCTCTCTCTCTCTCTCTCTCTCTCTCTCTCTCTCTCTCTCTCTCTCTCTTTCTTGTATTTTAAACGTAATCTCACCACACCTTCTCCTCCACCACCACCAGCAGGAGTGAGTGGGTTCCTCTCCTCCATCACCACCAGCAGGAGTGAGTGGGTTCCTCTCCTCCACCACCACCAGCAGGAGTGAGTGGGTTCCTCTCCTCCACCACCACCAGCAGGAGCGAGTGGGCTCCTCTCCACCACCACAAACACCAGCAGAAAGGGAGAAGGAAAGAAGGAGGGAGAGGGAGAGGGAGAGGGAGAGAATATTCCATTATTGTGAGAGGGTACGTGTCTGACACTGACTAAGGACAGGCACGGAGTCTGGAATCGAACCCCGGGCACCAAGGGACGGTGGAACACGAGCGAGTCATCCATTCTCTCGTCATCAGATAACTCTCGTGAGGACGACGCTGGCGGGGTGTGTGTGTCTGCGTGTGTGTGTGTGTGTGTGTGTGTGTGTGTGTGTGTGTGTGTGTGTGTGTGTGTGTGTGTGTGTGTGTGTGTGTGTGTGCTCACTATCACCGCCACATAATATATAACACTACACAATACTTAACACTGAGTATATCCACGTAGCATATCAATAGGTTATACATCATGGTATATCGCCTTTAAATCTCTACCACATATTGGGTTAGATGACATAGTACACACGTCAGTCGCGGCTGTATTATAACACGGAATTACCGCCATAAAGTTGCTGTGAAAAATCCGCTGATACATGGACTGAAACTACCAGTCATTAAGCGTCGATGCTAAATTGTAATACTTTTTTTTTGTAATTTCTTGATTAACTTCCAATCTGGTGCCT